AGCTGCTGCAAATGATGAAATATTCATGATGAATGTCACACACATGACAAGGTTTCCCTACTTGCATCAGAGGTTGGGATGCACATATATGTGGGTGGCATTTCTATGCACTATATGTTTCATCAGTTTAGGTTACTAAGGGTTGCCATTGTACAACTTCAAGCAGCTGCTTCTATTATACTGGTATTGTCCACATTTAAGAGGTTCATTTCTTTCATTTGCGCAACTTCCCATAATATAGAGAGGATTTTTACCTAATGTTCTCAAGTGCTTGAAGTTTTATATGCATTTTCCCCAAATATGTGCAGTTTCTTCCAAATATTTGAGCCAAGAATAATGGATTTCGTGCATCAGAAGTACTATACATTATTGTTTTCTGTGCCCTAACAGGAATATGGTCTATGCGGACCTTGGCAGGCCACTAAGTTTGTTTTAAAATTTGGCAAGATTTCTTCTTACTTCGAATCTTTATAGCATTTAGAAAGTTTTAGACCCTTGAGGAATGATCAGCAACTCTACATAACAAGTGCAGATTACAAATATTCCTGAGAACAGCAAGAGGCTGTTAGTATACCGAGCATAGAGTAGAGAATTTTATTTATAAAGCAAACAACAGGAATAAAATGAGTAGAAAGTTTAGGAATTATGAGGTTACTGTGGAGCAAGGGAAAGGCTTGAGATAAATGGGCACATTGGTAATTTTGAGAACTTCTTGTCACATTCATAAAATGGCTGCCAATGATAAAGCACCCATTTTTCAAATTGTAAGGATTGGAACTTAGCTTTATAGCACAGTAGCTTCTTAAACAAGCTGTATAGGTATAGCAAATGACAAAGTGTGCTGGGGGCAGGGCTGGAATATGATTTCTGCCTTCCCCAGTGCCCTCTGTACATGACTTAGGTGTCCAAACCTCACTTTCTTTCAACTCAGATGCTGGCTGAGAGCTGAGATGGTCTGAAGAGGCCTGAGGTAACTGAACTGAAGGCAGTAGTGGCAAAGCTGAAGCCCACCTGTTGCCTTCCTCATAAACATGAATATGAATTTTGGAGATACTATATCCTTTATGGTTGTTCTGGGAAGGGAATCTTTTCTGTAGTTTTTCCCCCCTTCCCTGTGGGCCCTCCTTCCTAGCTAATATGTAATAATGTATAATAAACTTTACCCTGGCCTCAGAAAGAGAGAACCAAATGAAGGATAAAAGCCGCTCACTCCATTAACAGCCTGAAATTAAGAAGACAGTTGATAATCAGTCTTAGTATGGAGATGATATAATAATTGGAGCAGCTTAAATTCTGTGACAATATTTAACATATCAGACAAGGACATTTGTCTGTCCCAGGTCCTTGGAAAGGACTCAATAGTGGATAAAAATGATAAACCCAATGTAAAGATTTGTCTGACTGTGAAGCCAACAATAATAACAGCAAATTTATCATAATAATTTACCTTTAAATTACCTTAAAGAGCTCTTAGGTTCTTGGTTAGGACTTGAACTGTTAAGTTTTTACCAGTCCCAGACTGTGAATCAAATTGAAGATTGAATCTTAAATAACAACAACGAGAGGGGGGGGGGAGACAAGAGAGAGACAGAGAGAGAGAGACAGACACAGAGAGACAGAGGGAGACAGAGAGAGACAGAGAGAGAGAGACAGACACAGAGAGACAGAGGGAGACAGAGAGAGACAGAGCGAGAGACATAGACACAGAGAGACAGAGGGAGACAGAGGGAGAGAGAGGGAGAGAAACAGAGACAGACAGAGAGAGAGAGGGAGAGGGAGAACAATTGAACAATGTGTTGAAACTTTAGGCTAAAAATAACTTCCTTCTGTTATGCTTAATTTGTGTAAATTCATGATTTATTCCCTGGAGCCTATGCAAGGAATTACCTTGGAAGGAAGCCTGTTTGACTGAAATCCACATGCCTACTGAGCCTAAAGTCTAGCATTAGGCTGCCTAGGTTCCTTTGTGATTTCAGTTTCCTTGCTTCCCTGCTTATTAATTGATTGATTCAGACAGGTTCGTTTGTTGGCTCTGCAGTTTTG